GTAAAAAGTCAGATGTTTTGGCTGTTTTTGCTTTTTTTTGTTGTATTTTTTTTTTGCAATTTATCATTTACCAAGTTATATTTATGTATAATTTAATTTTTAATATTATTTGTTAATAATTGTCAAAGATCAAAATATATAGATTACTTCATGGACATTTTTGTTTATTTTTGTTTCCATATTCTCGTGTTTTCCGACATTTTTTTTCTGTCTACTGCGGAAAAACGCTGGACTAGATTTCTACCTTCAAAAATAACAAAACTATAATTTAAAAGTTCAAAAAGCCCGCTAAATGTTGTTTAGTTTGTCTTGTAGTGGATAGTGGCGCTAGTATCGATATGACGTCATCGCGATGCCAGTGTAGCAAACTGATCTAAAAAATAAATGGATAAACAATCATACGGCTTGATTGGCAAAATTTGTGTGAAAATTTGGGGTCAATATTCTACGAACAGTTGTGCAACGGAACAGCCTAACGCCTGCGCATTATCTTATCTTTGGAGCAACTGTTCTAGATTTTGAAATTCCTCCATTTTCATTGGCCAGATTTTGTGCACGCACAGTACATGTATCTACTGCGCACGCTTACCGCTGTCCCAGTCAGTTGTTTTTGTTTAGATTATGACCTCGTAAATTAGCAGCATTAGAAGCGTTCTTTGCTTATCCATTTATTTTTGAGATCAGTGGTGTAGCACCACAGAATCGGTAACTCTCACCTTGGTTTATTATATTTCTCTATGGTCGTTACCTCCTATCATTAAAATTATACTGACTAATGGTTAAACCGGCGCTGGCATGCGCAGGTTTTTGACAACGGGCTGGTTGAATATTATAGGTTATGTTATGTTAAACTTATGTTCAAAAAATAATGGAAAAGCATTGAAAATTCAAATCCTGTGACCCTGGTCATAAACAACAGAATCAACATTGACAAATCAGAACAAGGTACAAGTTGGGTAAGATTATAAAATAATGGATACGAATAGGCAAATTTTACGTAAAACTGTTTTCAGATAACTGTCATTTAAAAGTATGATACCGCTTTACGTGAAAAAAAATAACTCCTGACGTTAATACCGTCCATACGTGCTATCTGGTTCACCGATATCTCTCTATTTGACGCAAATAACTCTGATATGCGCATGCTTAGGATTTATGTTGCGTCTTAACGGTTACGTTACGTCCATTATAAAAACGCTAATACCATAAGAACTGCCATACTTACAAAAAGCGTTACGGTATTTGAAATTTGGACAGCACGAGAACTCTCTACTGTCGATTCTGTTGTTTATAATCAGGGTCACAGGATTTGAATTTTCAATGCGTACCTACCACTGATCTCAAAAATAAATGGATAAACAAAGAACGCTTCAAATACTGCTAATTTACGAGGTCATAATCTAAACAAAAACAACTGACTGGGACAGCGGTGAGCGTGCGCAGTAGATACATGTACTGTGCGTGCACAAAATCTGGCCAATGAAAATGAAGGAATTTCAAAATTTAGAACAGTTGTTCGAAAGATATGACACTGCGCAGGCGTTAGGCTGTTCCGTTGCACAACTGTTCATAGAATATTGACCCCAAATTTTAGCACAAATTTTGCCAATCAAGCCGTATGATTGTTTATCCATTTATTTTTCAGATCAGTGGTACCTACCTACACGTTAGGAATATGATCAGCTGATCGTTATAAAAGGAAAATTTCTTGGGTGTGAACTGTGAAGCGGATGTGCTTATTTTTATTTGGACTTGGACACAGTTTTTCCATTTCAATTTCAGAAAAATGGAAATTTCTGGAGATGGTCGTATTAGATAGAACAGAAAACATAAACAATGAACAAATAAAAAAATACTAAATTAAATTTTGGCAATTCTGACAATTATGACATTGCATATCATTATACGGTATACAGCCCGTTAACTTCCCTTACATAACGGGATTCGCTAACGATATAGTTAGCGTAATGGTTTTTGACAGATAGCGTTATGTAAATAACGGAAACGCAGTCAAAAGAACTCTCTATAATGTTAAGAATTGTAATCGCTCATACGTTTAATGTCAAAATGATATTTACGATTATTCCACTCATGTGTTAAAATTCCCATAAGAAAAGTGACAATTTTCAAAATTACAGCGATTATTCCACTCATGTGTTAGAAATCTCATAAGACAAGTGACGATTTTCAGAACTACAGCGAAAATTCTCTTTTCCATTTGTTTAACTAGAGAGAATTACAGCGATAATTCTCCCATGTTATTGTATATAGGTATGGTTGTCATGCTAATTTTTGATACAAACAAACGGTTCCTGATATCAACCATTTATTTGTATTGATTGTTAAGATGTTCAAATCGTTTAATACATATTTATTTCCATATTTTTGCATTCTCATACGTGAAATAATCCTCTAAATACCACTTGAGCTTTAAAATGAACCAGATAATTTTGAAGCTCTCGTGGTATTATCCCCGATAATACTGCGCATGATCCTCTTTAGGTTACTAATATCTCTCTAATAGGTATAAGATACAAATGATACAATTTGAAATATGTATAAAACAATTTAAGGGTATAGTGCATCAACACAAGTCAATCCAAGTTAAACGCAAAACCAGGCTTTTGACACCAGTTTATCATGAAAAATTATCTCAAAAACTGGGTTTTGCGTTAAAAGTAGATTAATTATGTTGGTGCAACTAACTACCCCTTAATAAACCGAAATGTGACAATAGGTCTGTTTCTGCAGGAATCACAAACCAGTCAGAGTGAATTTCATTGGTTGAAACTAGTTTCCTGACTGTTTTTGACTGTTTTCAACCAATGAAATTCGCTCTGACATCTTTTCTCTAGTGATTTTAACAAGAAAGACGAAGACCAGCAAATGACATAGCCATAGGGATAATGATCTCTATTCGTTACAGAGTCCTAGCCCTGGTATCAGGGTGTCCAAGATTCAATAGTGTTAGTGGGTTTCGGGGATCACTTGCGAGTCTCAATTTTCAAGAGAAGTTGACCGGTGACACCCGCACCTCGATATCTCGATTCGTTTTTAAGCTACAAAAGGAAAATTTGACCAAATTTTCATAAATAAAAAAGTTATAGCCCCCTGCCAAACTCCAAACTTTCCAAAAACACCTCGTAACATGAAATTAAACGACTCGACATATCGAGATGCGGTTTTCATCAAATCGAGGCTCGCAAGTATTCGGGTCAGATTCTTTCCGCAACTTCTTTAGACATATTTGAAACTCTGAAACCCATTAGTTTATAGGTATAGATATACCTACCCATGAAGACTGTTTACCTATTCAAATTTAAAATGATTACCTATTGTAGATAGAATTTTTCAACAGGGGTTGACTCATATTTCAGTGATTAATGCCCAATTAATTGAAAAAACCTTAAACTTTTGTCTCACCTATTTACACACACACACAAAAAAAAACACTGTATCTATATTTATTAAACAATAATACTTAAAAGATAAACAATTTACAATTTTTATAAGGGCCAATAAAGATAAATGGAGAATCATTTTGACGGGCCACAGAAATTAAAGTTAAAGAGGCAAAATTTCTTTCAGAAAAAAAAACATTTCAGCCCAAGTGTTGTAAATTCGCTTTATATTGGGGACAATAATAATTATTTTATAAAAACTAACGGTATTTATTAATTTATTAATTTATAATTGATATTATTGGAGTTTTGATGTCAGATTTATTTGTTTTTCGTGATTCTCTTTTCTATGTTTTTATTATTTTAAGGGACGATTTATTCAGCTTCTGATAAACTGTCAGGTAGGTACTTACCTATGCTATCTGAGGGATAAAAACTCAATCTGTAATCCAATTGGGTTGACCAATTAATTTGAACCATATTTGGCTCTTGAATAAGGCTTCTAAAATAAATGTATCCAGAGCCTTTAATTTTAAAAAATCCATATTTGAACTAAAAGTGAAATTTGAAGCCTTAGAAAATATTTCTAACAAATCAAGAGCCGTAATAATCAAATTTTGCATTAACTCTGATTTGTAAATAATTAATGAAGTATAGGCCTAAGTAAAAAAACTCCTAATTGATACTGGGTTCATAATATGGAGACCGGACTTGACACTGACCTTACATAAGCCAATTTTAAGCGATTGAATGATCGGTGATTTTGACAGATAAACCATTAATTAAACGTCATTTGTCAAGCAATTGTTGTTAACTTAACTGACGTTAAATGTATTGCTTATCTGTCAAGACGACCAACTAGTCAATGGACGCTTTATTTTATGCAGCCGATGGATCCATCAATGACCAGTCTATCTTTGTCTAGTTCATAGAAAATCGGAATAGCTGTCTCATAATGATGGCAGCAGATGGATCCATTGCTGAATAAAAAAAAAGCTCCCATGGCTTAATAATTGGCTATAATTCACTTGTCTACACAAATAGAATGTTCTAGAACATTTTAGAAAACTTGTTTTGCAATATCAAAATCTATTCTGATGAACACGTTTTTAGTACCATTTTCCAATTTTATTACAGTTTTTTGGAAGATTCGATTTTAACGGTCATCATGACAGATAAGCAATGTATTTAACGTCAGTTATGACCAATTGGTTGACACATGACACATGACGTTTAATTAATCGTTTATCAGTCAATATGACCGATCGGTCAATTGCTTGAAATTGGCTATGTAAGTATACTTACCTATAAGTAATGAGAAAAAATCATTTTTTTTTTGTTTTCAAATTAAAACAACCCTCTTTATCACTTTTTTTTCCCTTCACATCCTTTAAAAGTTCTAAAATCAGCCAAATCACCCCCTAACTGAAAAAAGCAAAACATCCCGATACCCTTGGACGAAGCACCGCCTTCTTATTGGCGCATCTCATCCGCCATGTTCCATTTCCCGCAACCCCATTGGCCCGAGACTTCTCAAACCCCGCCCCCTAGATAAAGAAAAAAATCCTTTTATCCATGTGCCTCATCTAATTTCACCTCCTCTAGTCAGTCGATAATAAATAGGCATAGTGCGTAGATAAGACAATTTTCCATCCGCGTATATACACATGTAAATTATTAGTGTTTAGGTGTGTTTTTATTTATATTGTAGATTAGAATCCTTCGAAAGGATGGTTTCGTACTACAATTCGATGTACAGACAAAATTCGAACTTTCAAGGGTCGCAAAACCCGTGGTACCCGTCGGCGGCAGGGTACCACCACCAAAACCCGCAAATGAACGGCGGCGGCTATTTGCCGCAAGAAGAACCGCAAATGTGGCACCACCAGCCGCATCATCACAGTGTGTTTCATCATCAAGAGTTTCCGGATTTCGTGCACACCGGAATACCGCCATTGCAGCCCGGTCTTAACGAACCGGAACACCAATTGCCGTCGCCCCCGATTACGGTGTCGGGCAGCGAAATGAGCAGCCCCGGGGGCAACATTTCGCCGCCGAATTCGCATCACGGGAACGTTAGGCCGCCGCCCGCAAGGAGTCCGTACGAGTGGATTAAGAAAACTAGTTATCAAAGTCAACCAAATCCTGGTAAGTAACTTTGAATTAAATATTGCCGCCATTTTGTTTTTGATTCCAGAAAAATACGCCATTTTTTTTAATCGGGCATTGAATAAATCACGAGTCTCGAGCCGGTCAAACAAAGTTAAATTTCGAACCTCTGCAACCGCGACCTACTCTTTTGAAAACCCAACAAAAACGTCACTGATATTCTTACTAAATTAGGTAACTCAGAATTCACAATAATACCGTCAAAGTGTCTTTGATCGGTGCAAATCGTCAACAAACGCATAGTTTTCTGACAGTTCGCGATAGGTTTGTAATCACTGTGAGAACAGACCTGTCTGTGATCAAAATTACTGCAAAAATTTACACGCCACTGGAATTATTTTCCCTGACGGCTCACAACCCGCTCCACTCCATAACTATACAATTTTTATTTTTTATATTTTTTAAATTTTAACTTTTTCAATAGATAGAGCGAGCTTAGAATTTTTTTTTGACAATTCTAATAGCCAGTCAAATTTTGTTATTTCTTGTCATGTGACACAAATCATCCAATCATGTCAAGATTATACTGAAAACAGCCCACTCTATGACATTGTCACAGACATTGTTGTCAAAAAATTTCTATCAATAACCCTCGAGCATTGATAAATTCTCAAAAATTTTATAACAACTTTCTCAAGCTTGCTGCTTATAGCAACAAGCTTTCGAAATCTGTTTTTTGGATCATCTTCGAAAATATAAGCAAATTTTTGTTTGCTATTATTATAATCAGTGAAAGTTGCAAAAATAATAATTTTGTTCTTTTTCATATTTATTTTAACGTTCTGATGTAAATGCACCCAAAGCTAGTTAATGCAATTTCTATAGTTAACTTGATTGGTCATGAATGACGCTCTGTATCAAAGTTTTCTGTATCAACTCAATCGAAATGACTGGGTTTACACAGGCATATCTTTTGATCAAAAATAAAATCTAATTTAATCGAGATTCCCATACTTACTCGCGAACTTGTTACACCCTGTGCCGTATCTTATTATGAGTCACTAAGGTAAAAGTACCCAGTTGTTGACATGTTAAGGGTATCCTTGCTTATGATCACCACACATTTTCCAAATTTTCAAAGTTATGATATATTTTTTAGCGTGATTTCAAACTCATAATTGAATGTGTAGATATATTATTTACTCTATATTCCTATTATTTGTGTTATTATGCCAAAAATACCTGAAAGGTGATAAAACCCCAATAGTTGACACCCAAAAAAGTTCACTGCGCCAAAAGTTGACACATTTTTGATCCAAAGGAAATTTTATCACGGTCTGTGGAACTAAGAGGTATATTTTTCTAAGTGTACAATTTTTTAAATGAAATATATACACATAATAACCAGTTATTTTAAATTTTTTTAAGTACCTACATGTTGTGGTTTCATTACTTGACACTCTTGAAACCAATAGTTGACATGTTGCCTGTATCAGTAGAAACCCTGGTAGAAACATCAATAATGTAAGAATCAAACTTTTTAATAATAATAAATAACATTGGGAAACTTTTTGTTGCGAAAAAAATACAAATTGCTCATAAAAGAAATTGCTTGGAAAGCATTGGTACAATGTGTTTTTTTTGCTGCTGTAGCTGCAGTGAGCCCCCTATCGCAATCATCTAACGCAGCAATCACGTCTTCTGGTAGTTCTGGTGCATATTTCAGCAATTTCCATTTTTCATGCGTCATCTCTTGATTTAAACTTGAAAGGACCAATTGTTGACACTCCAAAGCTCCAAACCTTGACAGGGGTAACAGGGGTGTCATCTTTTGGATCTACGACCGTTGCATTCCCCAAACCCATATCTAGGTTTCTTTTTAATCCAGAGCAATAAAAAGAGACAGATTACAATGCTAAAATATTTTTACCGCCAAAAATCCATAAGTTGACACTAGTGTCAACATTTGGATCATCCCTCGATTTGGGCTTCAATAGTTGACACCCCCCCTTAAAAAGTTTATGCCAGTTGTTTAAGAGATAAAACAATAATAAATATGTATTACAATGTATCTTATTATACAGTAAATATATATTATTCATAATTTATCAACCCTACCTTAGCTTTGAGAACTTTTGTTTTTATATCTTCTTAACTATTTTCACTAGAAATCTGGGAAAAAATTCAAACATTTGCACCTGTTCACTACTTCTTGCCACAATTTTGAAAAAACTTGTCATTTCAAATCCATACATCAGCTATAGCCTGAAAGATGGCTCCAACAATACTATAAGCTATTTCAGTTAGCTTATAACCTATATAAATTCTTATTTTCGGGAATAATATGCTAATGTGTCAACTTTTGGGACCCTATCAACAACTGGGTACTTTACCTTACTGTCAACAAAAATATTCTGTTATATAGTATAAATGTTCAAACCTAATATAGGTACAGACTACAGGGCGGTCCATTTACTTAAGACACTCTATATAATATCGGGAAAACGGCGCCGCCTTCGTGAGACCATAATAATACCTGACTTTTTTGACCTACGTCCATGAACTGTAAGTGTCACTTACAACAAATTAAGGATACAATTTTATTGAAACAAATAGAAAATACCTAGACCTCAAAAAGTTGAAATTAGCATAAACAGATAGGTAATAATATAAAAATGAGATACTTCATAATTATTTACTTTGTAATTTTGAAAGTAAAAGAAACATTTTTACAACTAGTCACATTAACATGCAGGGATAAGTACTTTCCTGTATTGAAGAACTTAAAATATTGGAATGATATTTAGAACCTACAAAGCAGCTAGAAAACTAAAACTAAACATTTTTAGGCCAATGTTACCTTCAATAATGCATCTTGTCAATAAAACTAATCGAAACCAGCCTTTAGTTTTCACTAAATTCAATTTTTAAGGGAAATCAGTGCTTACCTTGAGGCTGAAATAATTTCTGTCCACCACCATCTGAAAATGTCCAAAAAGCGATAGTTTTTCGTATTTCCTCGTGGCTTCCGAGCCAATTTGACGCACAAAACAGTTTCCCACACGAAAATTAAGGAAATTCCTAAAAAACGACCCGCACTCTACGATTCAATCTGACCAAATAAACTTGCCACGTCACTAATATCATTTGTCATAAGTTGAAACTTTCGACAACTATGTCCGTCTTTTTCTACTTTGTACAATTAGAATGCGATAGAAATAGTCGACTGTTTACATAGCCTACTTTGAATTTGGACTCAAAAAGCAATATTTTTTCGAATTTCCTCGTAGCCCCCGAGCAGTGTTGCCAACTCTGAACCAAGACTGTCCACTGAAAAAAATATTTTAAATCCACTAGGAGAGAAAAATAGCGCCGCAGGACTAGTGGAAAATCTACTAAATTTTTCCCACTCTTTTTTGAAATTTTTGGCACTCCCATGTTGTGTTGTGTTAGTTTCTAGATTATGTTACAGCAGCAGTTTATAAAAGCATGAAAGTCGGGTTGACTTGACTTGAAGTTGGAATTGACAATGTTGACAGTTGACATAAAAGTATCATTGACAATATTGTAACACACAGGCCTTATGAGGATAGGCCATCCTGTAGGTAATAGTCTCGGTAATAGTGATGTGTATCATCTTTGACAAATGGCCCCACGTCAAATCACCAGTTGATACGTAGGCAGCATGTTATTTCTCGCCTTGCCGTAAGATGTTTAAACAGCTGACGACTTAGTTATGACGTCGGAAATGGTGACACACCAATATGGCGGCGATTATCAAAAACGAGGACCATGAGCAATCCTGTAGGTGTGTGTATCATTGAAAATATGCTGCCTTCTGTAAATTAACAGGAATCCTATACAAATACGTTATTTCGAAATTTTAAAAAGAAGTATCGAAAACTAATGTAAGCGAAGTATCACTAAAAATCATTGAGCTAAAAATTCACTAGAAACCGTAGATCCCATTCCCATTAAAATGGCCACTATAACGGAATTTATTAAAACCACTAGACGACTTTCAAATCCACTAGAATTAGTGGTAATTCTTACCGAGTTGGCAACACTGCTCCCTAGCCAATTGGACGTTCAAAACACTTCTCCGCACGAAAATTGCCGAAATTTCCCTAAAAACAACCCGCACCTGACCAAATGAACTTGCCACTAACATCTAAATGTCACTTTTCATGAGTTGAAACTTTCGACAATTCTGACCGTCTCTTTTTAGCTTGTACATTTGAAATGCGATAGAAATAGAATAGTCGGTTGTGAATTTGATTTTGGAGTCAAAAAGCGATATTTTTTCGAATTTCCCGGTAATCCCCTAGCCAATTGGACGCACAAAACACTTTCCCGCACTAAAATTGCCTTAAAAAAACAATCCACACTGTACGATTCCATCTGGTCGAAGGAACTCGTCACTAATGTCACTTGTCATAATCTGAAACTCGACAACTATTTCCGTCTCTTTTAACTGGTGCATTTGAAATGCGATAGAAATGTTCGATAATTGCGATTTTGAAGCTTCTCATCTTCAATACTGTTGAAAGTAAATTTAAATCGAACAAGCTTATAGAAAATTTAGAGCTGCTATTTTGTTCTTTTATCCCAGTTCTTCTTATTATAAGGAAAAAAAAAAGAAAATGCTCCGAGCGCTCAGTGTTTCAAGACGAACTCACGGTATGATGGACGTTTGCTGACAGACACTGACAGATCATACTAGATGACGTCACGACCAGTACCAGTGCGTTTTTTCCTACTGGAAATAATTTGAATTTTTCCGCATTTCTGCGGCAGTTTGCGACAAGAAAAAATTGTTTTTTTCCCTGATATATGTTTTAACATAATATATTCTTATGATTTATAGTAATAATTTCATGTTTAAATTTTTTGTCAAGTTCCCTTGAAAATTTTCAGTTCGATAATCGCAATTTTTAATTTTCTCAGCTGTACTACTGTTGATAACAAATTGAAACAGGCCTGTAGAAAATTTAATTGGCTTTAATTAGAGCCTGATTACATTGAAATCGGATGAAAAT